ACAAAACCTCTGAGACTCGAAATATGTCAATTGCGAGATAGGAACAGAACCTCCCCCGGGGATATTCAAAAAGTGGTCATTTATAGCATTTGGATCATTGAAGCCAGGCGGCAGAGAATCAGATTTGCAAGGGTCGCACATAATCTTGTCTTTAACAGTCTTCCAGAAAGTAGTGCTATCTTTAAAATTACAATTTATAAGATTATTGAAATAAGCACGTTTATCGTTATTAATGCTTGTTATAACTATTTTTTTTAAATCCTTATAGTACTGACCATGCGAATCCAAACCCGTTTTCCGATACCTTTCATGAGCTCGGTTACGTAGATTCATCATAAATTTTATCGTATCAGTCACCCATGGAAGTGACTCATGTTTGAGATGAATGGTCTTCATTGGAGCAAGTGTATCGAAAACACCTAAAATCAGAGCATTAAATTTTTCAACCATAGAACCCACATCCGGCATCCCATTTACAGAATCCCAATCAACGGATAGAACTACGTTATTTAATTCTGATAGATTGATGTCCTTTAAAGGTCGATAAGTTACAAGTTTGGGTGGCATTTTTGATTTTTTAAGATTTAAAGTGACAACAACCATTGCATGACCCAATCCCGCCTTTACGTTGTGTGTTGTTACTTTATGAACTTTGCAGTTGGTACACACAACATCGATTAAAGTTTCAGATGTCAAAGAAAAATGGGTTGGTTTATTGACTACCTGTTTTAGGTCCATGTAGTGTAAGAACTGAGACAATTTGACGGTGCCAGAGTCAGACGGACACAGCATGTTTATATTGAAATCACCTGCCAGTACCAAATAATCGTAAGTTGAAAAATGCGTGATTGTTTCTGTCAACACATCAATAAAAGTGTCTACGTTGATCCAGCGAGGTCTATATGCTGTGCCTACAATCACTCTAAAACCATTCACACGCAATGATAGCCACATTTGTTCGATATTGTCATTCGGACTTGGAATATATCTGACATGTACACCCTTCCTAATATAGAATCCAACACCTCCCCCCCGGCCTCTCCGCATGTGAACTGGGCGTGGAGCTAGGCGAAGCCTGTAACCAGGCGGGGATGGAGCACATGCCGTCTGATTCGCTGCAATCCAGGTCTCGTTTACAGCCAATATATCAGGTCTATACTGATCCATCGCAATGTTAAAATCATCATGGCCAGTGTTTAGCGAGCCGGCATTGTAAATACCTAAGCTAAAGAATTTAGCATTGGAAGTCATTGTAAAAATGTTAAAATTAATATATATAAGCAGCACCACGGGCCTAGCGAATATAAAAAGCAAAATAATACATTTAAAACATAGTACTTGATGTAAAAAATAAAGCAAAATCCAAAACACAGGTTAAAAGCGCAAAGTAAGTGTAAAGAAATGGGTATCACAATACAATGAACCGATTCATTATGCCTCACGGCAACAACACACGCAGATACATAGCAATGAATGCTTACACTACTGAGCCAAACACATGTAAAAATTAAACAAGAATGAGCGTTGTAGAGGCATAGTAGCAACATATATAAAGATAATTGTGAAATATATATACAAAAAATCATAATGATCACAAAAAATATAGCAGTGAAGTCACTACAAATTGTGCGCAAGATACACATATAACACAAAAGCACGAAAAGTAGTGATGGAATTGCATACAGAGACATGTACAAAACATATAGAGAACAAAACATCATAAACACAGATAATGGTACAACGACGTTGGTACCACTAATTACATAACTTGCAAAATATCTATAGTATGTGTGTAATATGCAAACAGGACGAAATAATTCATTTGTCATTAGAAATACCAATAGCGTCATTGCCAAAAACACGGACCAGATCAGACTCCGTGCGAAGACGGTGGCGAGGTACACCCACTCCGTGCTGTTGGCGAGCGAAAACATTTCCGTCTCGTGTCCACACAAAACGCCAATTTAGTTGCGCTGCAGCCTCCCTGGCACGTCGGAATATAAGCCTATTTGCCCTGGTTAGCCGCTCATTCACGTAAAATCTGCGCGAAGGGCCAGGCAGGCCCGTGCCCTCGGTGGTTGCGCCGCGACGAACGCGCGCCGCTCGCAGAAGTTCGTCACGCACACCGCGGCGTGCCAAGCGCACGACAAGAAGCCGCGGCCTCGCGTCTCCGCCCCCTAAATCCGGCGCTCGTCCAACGCGCATCGTACTAACAATATCCTGCTCCGACAGATTGACACCAAGCTTACTGGCCAATGTCATGACGACGTGTGGCAGGCCTTCTCCTTTTTGCTCTGGAACACCCGAGAGCTCGATGTCATTGAGCAGCAATTCTTGATCTCGGTCATTTAGTTGAGTCTTTAATTGTTCAACTGCTACTAATAACGAGCTGTTGTCAACAACACTTCCACCAATCTCGGCTCCACCATCAAAGCGATGCAACAGCGAGTCCACCCTTTCTTCAATCCTATTCACTCTCTGCTCAACAGTGGCCATCCTGTCAGAGAGCTTTGACAAGACTGTACCAAGTGACCTCATCTGCGTACGCGAAGCCACCATCTCCTCCCGAAGCAGACGCATTTCCATGACCAAATTCTGTGTCGGTGACCCCTCCAAGGTCACATTATGCTCTGTGTCATTGAGGAGACCATCGTTATCGGGTGGATTGGGCAAATGAGCCAGCGAATCGTCCAAACAGTCTGGAGCACCCTGAGTCGGGTTTCCGCCGCGTCGAACCGTAACCCCACCAACTGAATGCACAGGGGTATCAGCATTATCTGACTTAGGCAGTTTGCTAACACACAAGGGACACCTCCAGGCAGCCCTATGTTCGCAAGTCATAGTATTGAAAAATCGTTGCTCGGACACATTTGCACATAGTAGGTCATAAAAACCTTTACAGTTTGCACAGCACAAAAACAGACGATTTTCTATAGGTAGTAAGCAACCAGAGCAAGTAATATTGTTGGCTGCCATTTCAAAAAACAAAGAAAAGAAATTTAAAAAAATAAAAAAAATTAAGAATAGATTTGTGTCGGATTTGAACCCCGGGCACTTCAAATACGGCGTCAAATTCACGCCGCTATACCAACGACTCGCTTATACGAACTGGTGAAATTTCGCTATCCTTGGTACGTAATGCCAAATCGTGCGTCATGTGCAAAAACGGACGAGCGAAGAATACCCACAACGGCGCACTGTTCGCAGAATAATTTGTTAAACTGTGATAGTTTAAATGTTAAAATGTTGTGTTTTCTCCACAACTACAACACACTCAATTAAAACACAAACACCAAACGAAGGAGCCGAAGACGCGAAAACATTTAATGTACAACTTAGATCACAACAACAAGTATTATCACATAAAATAATTTTTAATAACTGAGAGCCATGTATCACGTCCGATATCGATACCGCGCCCCGCGCTTCCATTCATTGGAATTATTTTTTATTAAATAATTACGTGCGATTACTTCTCATTTGGCATTGTTTTATATAAGGGCGCTCTCTAACCGGCGAGCATTCGCTTGTCGCGTTATAGATAGATAGATAGATAGATAGATAGGTAGTTTATTTGCCACAAAACACACATATTACATGAAATACAAAGACAGAACAAACAATGATATAAATACTTAAAACTAACAAAAGTAGAGTAATATAAACAACAAGGACAAAATAAAATCAAGACTTATAGTAGAAAAATGTAGCATGTGTGCTGCCGTGGCGCATAGGACGCAGCTCAGCTTTAAACCATCGCCAAAAGCGACGAGCTGATTTTCAGCTACCTCCCAAAAGGTTACGCGGAACGTTAAAAAAGGGAAGAGAAAAGAAAAGATTGTTGCTGTGCAAATTAGTGCGCTGTGTACTCAAATCATATAGGAGGAATAAAGAATCATATTATTATAATAAATTGCAAACCTAAAATGAATTTAAAAAAATCATAAAAATAAAGAGAAAAAAAAATTAATAGTAGATTATTATTTGTGGTCAGTCTACAATAAAATATAAGTTAATTAAAGTTTACTCACTAAAACAATAATATATCGGTCGGATACGACACCTCAGGCGCGAAGTGCTGAGGAATACCCAGTCTTTGCTTGGCCAATACAGCAGATTTTAAATGTTTTTTAAAAGTGTATTTTGATTTAAATGATCTAATTGGGGGAGGGATGTTGTTCCAGCACTTCGTCGCCTGATAACGGAAACTGCCAGTGAACGCCACAGTTCGGTGTTGCTGCAGTAATAACGGAGGACGTACAGACCTTGGATCTTCTTGGAAGTAACGGTTACGAGGAAAAATCAGTTTCTCGTACAGATATTCGGGACGTTTATTTTTTATTATATCGAACATAAGGCAAGCAAGGTGAAATCTTCTACGCGACTCTATGTTCAACACAGATGCTGCATTTATATAAGGAGAAATGTGGGTCCGAGGAGGAATATTATAGCAGAACCTACAACACGCATTTTGTACGCGCTGCAGTAGACGTTTAGTTCGTTCTAGGATGCGAGGCCCATACACGACATCACCGTAATTGAGCCTGGAAAGGATCAGAGACTCACAAAGCATGACACGGGATTTTTCACTCAGTAAGTGACGGATCTTGTATAGTACTTTGAGACGATAGAAACAGCTATTTACAAGGTTCTGTATATGGCTTTCGAAGCGTAACAAGCTATCAATGACCATCCCAAGGCATTTTGCCTCGTTCACGCGTTCAAGGTGTTGACCATGAATAGTTACGATGGGATTACATTCAATTACTCTGTTTACCTGCGTCCCGCCTCCAAGCACCATAAACTTAGATTTAGTCGGATTCAAAACAAGAGAATTCTTACAGGACCATTCATATACACCAGTCAGGTCTTCGTTTAGTTTTTGCAGGGTAGATAAAGCATCCTTAGGCTTTGCTGAGATGTACAATTGAACATCATCCGCATAAAAATGACACCTACAATGTTTCAAGACACGCTGAAGGTCAGCACAGTAGATAATGAATAAAAGAGGACCAATTATTGAACCCTGAGGCACACCACAGATTACCCGCCGAGAAGCAGATGTCAAAATAGTTCCATCATGTCTATGAAGTCTGACAATCTGCGTTCTATTATATAGGTAACTGTTAAACCACAGCAAGGAACGTGTATTAATACCGTAGAAAGAAAGCTTAGATAGAAGAAGAGATATACTAATACTATCGAACGCACGGGAATAATCCAGCGTAGTAAAAAGAGTCGCATGACCAACATCCTGTTCAGTTAATATATTGTCAATGACATCGAGCAAAGCCGTTGTGGTACTACGTCCTCTACGGAAACCAGATTGAATGGAAGGTAGTATATTATTTTCTTCAACATATTTACTTAACTGTACATGTACAATCCTCTCCAATATCTTCGACAAAAAAGGCAAAATACTAATAGGTCTTAAATCTTTGAGATCACTAGGGTTATCTACTTTTGGTAATGGATTGACCATAGCCACCTTCCACTGTTCGGGAAATTCTCCCATAACAATTGACCTGTTTATTATGCCCGTAATAGCTTTCAGAGTATGTGGAAGAGTGAGCATTACCATATCTCTACTAACACCATCATAGCCAAGAGCGTTCGATTTCACAGACATGATATACCTACTAACATCCTCCTCGCTTACAGTATCCAAATTAAATTCGGACGTACAAAACCTCTGAGACTCGAAATATGTCAATTGCGAGATAGGAACAG